TTAAAACTGCCTGATTAAAGCCCAAAATTTGCAAATGTCTTTGTTCCACACCCAAAGCATGCCGGTTGTTCTAATTGCGACCCACTAGTTTCTACATTTTAAAATTTTACTGCATGTTAGGCAGATTGGAAGTTTTATTTTCATACGGAAGTAACATCAAGTACAGCAAAATTACGTTACACCTTGACTGAAGTATCAAACCATCAAGAGAGTAATTACTTGGAGTAATACCATGGAAAGTTAAGGTTGCGTCCCTCCTCTCCAATAAAAATGGCAACGATGAGTTGTATGGCCACCTAAACAGGGCACGTGAATAAGGACCACCCAAAATACGCACAGCTTTGCGCCAGCTTTTGGTGACGGAGATGAAAGTCCCGGTTACGTTTGAGCCTAAGGTCGGGGGTTGGGGTTCGGGTGAGGATTATGTGAAGGGTTGAGATTTAGGGTAGGGCTACGGTTAGGAGGAAGGCCACAGTTTATGTTAGGATTAGTTTTGGGGTTAATGTGGGGAAATATTATCTCCTCCTCCCCCCTTAAATTTATTACAAGGATATGTATTTTAAGTGGGTGGGACATTCTGATTCCTGTGTCCTGTTTACGTGACCTTATAAGTCATTTTTACCATACAAATAATCTAAAGTACTGTTCTATATCGGAAAGAAGTATAAGCCCGCCGAGAGTGTCTTCCGGCAAAGGATTGTGTCCAATAGTTCCCGGCCTTTGCACAATTAAAAACACTCACTGCACAGAGTCAAACATGTATACTTAAAAAAAAGTATTCCGAAAAAAGTCATTTTAAAGGCTTCAATCTGATTAGCGAAACAAGGGGGATTTCAATTGCAAGCTTATGAAAAAAAAGATAATTGGCGTTTTATCTGATTGGAAAGACTGACTAATTGATCAAATTGCATTTTCCTGCGTTTACTACGCCATCCACAACAGTCTGCGACATTTCCGTGCGCAGGGCGAAGAGATGTAGTCAAGTAGGAACTATGACCTATTTCCGTGAGTGCAACAGTGATAGACAGACGGCTACTGTTGGCCTGAGCCCTGATCAGGGGAGCGCCTGTGTGTTCCTGGGTGTGTCTTGTCCTCATACGAGATTGACAGGTCCTCGTAGCGAAACTTCTAAGTTGGTCCTTGACGTCGGGCGTTACCGCTCACCCTTTCCTTGCCTAATCACATTTCCAGTCCAGTCAGCAATCCCTTGCATGCCTTGTCTAAGGAACCAATATTTATCGTGAAATTGCTCTTAAACGGACAGCAAAAATAGTATTTATTATTAAATAGCCGTATTGCATAACTATAGGTGACCTAACTCATGCGGAAGACTGTCTCGCTGAAGAATTCTCGTGTGCTGCTTAATTCATTAGTATTTTTTTCCATGGACAGGCTTTCTGTACATTTAAAACCTAAGTCTACTTAGTTAACGCGAGTTTTCACTTTTTTGGAATTTGCCGCTTGTATAAAAAGGAGCATTTCTAAATAACGTAATATAAATTTATAAACCAAATATGCTTTCTTTTTAATATTCTATGATGATTCTTCTTTAAGAACCAAAAACTTCGTTCGCCTAACCGGAGATCTTGAATACTTACATGGGTATCATCGACAAAGTGGTTGTTCCCCTACTGTTGTTATACATTGGGGGACGTAGCGTGGTCTAATTATGCGTAACAGGGATTTTTATGTCAAATTCATGATATTTAGTGAAGTGAGGAATATACTGCAATTTCCGTAAATACCACACCATGTCTTTAGAATGTTCCCAGAGGAGGGGACTTTTCGACAAGTTCGGCTAAAACAAGCATAGCATTAGATCGTCTTTATTCTGTTATGCATGTAACATCAGGACTTTTAAACATACATTTTGGACCAACTGAAAACAATGTATCCGAAACACTTATTTTCCGATTGCTATGTTGACAGTATGACTAAACTGTTTATAAGAGATGTATAAGTATAAGTCTTCTAGCTTTTTCTGACACTGGTTCCCGTATAGACGACTTATTTTTAAAGGTTTTGTTGATAAACCGTTTTGTGGTCTCAACAGGGCAGTGTAACGCCCTGCACATCGTGAATCACTCTGACATTGAAGAGTGAGCAGAGGTGCATGTTTAGAGAAAAATCGAATGAACAGTTTTCAACGGATTCTCTGCTGTTATCTGACAAAATGGGTCTCTATACTGCTGGCACTATACTAGAACACTTCGCTCTAGACTGCCAGTTATCTGGTCAAATGAAACGCGCACAAATAAAATCATTTTCCACAACAATAAACTACGTAATTTTTTTAGTTTTCCCCGAATCACATAATTGTATAACAAACTTATCCTTCGGCCTTCTTAATTAAAAGATAACAGACCCTGCAAAAATATGTTTTATCCCCGAAGCCAAATAAATAAGGAACTACAATTAGCAATGACGACAAATGTGAATATTTTGAGACCATCAGAAACCGTGTAAATGATATAATCGAAAACTCTGCACGATGAAGTGAAATTTTACTATGCTGTACATCACTAATGTGCATGTTAAAATTAAAGAAACGCAAATGTTTCTGCTAGGTTCCAAAGAAGCTTTAAAATATAAGTTGGACCAACTTAAAGTCCTTAAGTGAAAGGAAGACCAACATGCGGTTTTTAGCCCTGATATCTAAAAACCGATAAATAATTTCTAAACTAAACTGTCATCTGTTACTTTTTATTAGTTTCTAAAATCCTACTATCATTACCATTTTACCTACAAACTGCATTTCTGCGCAGATGGAGTCTAAAAGCATTGCGTTCAAGATGCCAAATTCAAAAAAACTAAATCCAGGTCCTAGGTCATTAATTTCCGCAAGCATTTTCTATTGTAGGTCAGAAAGAAGATGGATCTAAGCCGTGGAACCATCTCCTTTCGAACGCATGCCGAAACACGTCGTCAGGCACTGAAGCAACAACAATACAAAATTTGGGTGTGGCTGGCTGCTGAGGGATCTGTATGCGGGTAACAGATCAATGTATTGATTGGTTGAGCTCTCATGCAAGAACCAGGCTTCTTGCTTTATCTTGTTTCCAGCGTGGGCTATTTTCTCGTTAGCTTCAAAAGGTGTGCCGTCAGCCACTTGTGATAACTCGTCCCACCGACGCACAGCCAGCTTATTTTCGTTTATGCGCAATCCAAACCCCGCGTTCAGTTATAAACGGTAGAAAAACAAGAACCGCTTAGGTTTCTGACTGCCCTCCTAGCTTTAATGAGTCTTTGATCCTTACAAACATTCTGCTTTTGATATCTTTGAGCCGGTGTGCAATCCTAACACTTATTCCCGCGTTTGATAGTCTCCAAAGGGCAAAGTCTATTACAAATAGTTTTTCAGATTTCTCTGCAGCCATACGATAACATACAAAAGAAAGAATTGAAAAGCACTCTTTGAATGAGAGCAACTTCTAAGATAAAAATACAAGAGGCCCAGGGTAACCGTAAAAAAGGCGCTTGAAAGCCGTGTTCCTATCGGAAACACCACCAAGGGTTTTGCAAGCTTTGCTGTACAAGAAGGCTACCAAACGTATTGCTGTGGGACTACGTATTGGAATTGCACACGATCCCAAAGGTACTACGCGCAGTTAAGTCATAAAAGTCAAAAATTTGCCCCAATTTCTTAAAAAAGAAACATTTAGATGTCTCAAACTAGATAGCCTTAAGACCCTTACTCTACACGCAACAGAGTAAATCAGTACCATCATTAATCAGGCACTCAAAAAGAATCTTAAAGTAAAATATAAAATACGTTTATAACAGCCAATATCCATTAATATTATCACTCGTAATTATTAAGAATTTACTCCACAAGACGGTCTGAAAATTCGTGGTTTTGGGCGTCAGTCGTTTTTTTTATTTACGCCTCACTCTGATAACAGGGATAGATTTAGACCCACTGTCGAGCCAGATTTCTAGCAACTGTGTCAAGCAACGATAGAAAACCGGCTAAACGCGTGCCTGAGCCTTTTAGCTAGTACCTGAGCTTTTAGAATTTTAAGATACAACGTCAATATATACTCTGATAACTGTTCGCAGTAAAACGTGAGTGATGATGATACAGCGTCGCAAGGATGTTATGTAGCGGCATGAGACACCAAGATGGAGGATGCAGCCCCTGACCGCAGACACTTTCAATGATTTGTTGTTACGGCCAAACTTCTTTAGTATTTTTAATTATTAGAATAAAAGCTTAATATAGTATATGAGGACATAGAGAGTGAATGTTAACTTTGAACCAAAGGCTGGAAACTACAAACTCAATTTAATTAATTTAAATTGGATCCTGATCGTAAATGCAATAACAATTTCTTTTGTTTCGCATTTTGCTCCTTAAGTAAGCAAGTCAATCAGGTTAAGCGTAGAAAACAAAAAGCGGAAAAAAATAAAGTAAACAGTCCATAAAGCAATATTTCCGCACTAACGACAAGGAGAGAAATGAATGAACTGATGAATAGAACATCATCAAGCAGATTTATCCAGACGTTTCAAATATCAATAAGGCTTGCACCTTTGTTGACAATAAATAAAAGTACATTAATATGCTTATTTGGTTGGTCAGATACAAAATCATGAATCACTATATTTTAATCAGGCCAAATAGGAGAGCGATCAGGACAACATTTTCTTCAATCTGTCTATATTTTGGAAATCCTAAATTCTTTTGGCCATTCGGATTTTTATTCTATCTGACCTCTGAAAAAGTTATTCCCCAAAATATTCCTGGTTAAAGCACCGTAATGGTTAAAGCGCCGTAATTTAATGCTGTGGCAAGTTATTGTTCTGTTTGAGTAAAACTTATAAATTATCAGCAAAGTATCTCTATCCACCAGAAAGACTTGAACGACTTTTCTGAGAGTCAGATATTCCCTGATCCATTATGCTAGCACTTATAGGTAAGCGGCGAAAATACCTTATAAATGTTTCTCCTCACCCCAAAAAAAGTGTCAGAAACTTGTATAAATCCCATAAAGAGGGTATTACATAAAATATACACTGCAAGCAATTTTGCTTACGGTTATGTGCCGATTAATATAACTAGGATGTATTTTCTCATGCGCCACACGCCAAAAGGATCCGCGTCCCGGCTCATCCTTTGATCTTGCAACTTTTCGGAAAGAACGATTCAAAGAAAGATTATGCCTAATGGAATTCTAAAAAACCACTCAATTAATAGAACTTTTAACCTTCCATCCGTTACTTATCTTGCGGTAGTATGGAAACTTCGCACAAATCCACTCGTAAATTTCATTCAAAGTCATCTTCTGATTTTCGGAAGATTCGATCGCTTCTTTTATTAACTCCGCATAGCTAAATGGCGGTTTCTCATTGATGTTCCTTTCACTTTCACACATTTTTTGGGATTCGTGATCGCATTCATTATCAGCGTATGTGGCTCCATTAAATGCATTGTATTGTACGCTGACTTCAGAGAATATATCAGAAGCAGGTTTCAGAAGCCAATCCATCGCAGTCAAACTGTCGTCGAATTCCGTCATATTTAATCGCGCTTTTCACATTTCGAATCGGTGATTGTATTCAAGGACGTTGATAAACAAAGCATTAGTAACCGGACCATTTCAATACCCAGTCATCGGGTCTGCATTTGCATACAGAAACAAGTATAGACAATGAAGATTTTTTCAACTGGATAATATTTTCTTAACATGTTTCAATTGCTGAGACTTCTTACGCTATATTAGTTCAACTAAAAATATCTCTGAATTATAATAGGGTTTATATTCTCAGTTGATCCCTGAAGTTTTCGAGCTAATAAGATGCTAATCTACGGGTTTTTTTAGAAAGTCGTAGAAGTGGGGCAGAACCTGGAGAAAACCAGCAAAACGTCCAAGTGAATTTAACAAATTATGCTGAATGGCCGAGCATAAGAGCAGAGATCTGGCATTTGAAAAAAAAAACAGTTTAAAGAAACGAATCTTTGTTTTCTGAGACGGAGCCACTAGGCTGTTAGAGTGACGGCCTTCGGCCAACGGAATCTTCTTTTGAATAAGGCTATATGCCCGTCCCTTATTTTGAGATGTTTCCAGCCGTTGGTCCTCCGTTGTTCCAATTCTATTAATAACAGTCGCATTTTCATTCGCTCCATCAGCTCGTATTCCGGCTGAAAAAACTCCGTATGGCAGACTGCATAAGGAGGCTTTTCTCTCTAACAAGATCTGTGCGTACGCTTCGCTGTCTAAAATGACCTGAAGAGGCTGTGGCCGAGTATTTGATCCGGGTGCTGGCGGTGCCTTCCCTATTCTATTGTAGCAGCCGACCCGGTAGGTTTGCTCTGTTTGTTACAAATGCACCCTTTGCTGGCAAGTCACTTTTTTGGTATCGAATTGGTGCACGTGGCTGCCCCTGCCTTTTTTCCGTTCTAGTGCAAGACATCGGCGAAGAGGATTCTTCCCCCCTATGGACGCTTCCAACGCCACCTCCCCTCAGAACCCTGCTAATTGACCTCTTCACCACCGGCCAGTGTTTGTCCCATTCTCCCTATTACAATCTATTTGTCACTCTATCAATACATAATACTCTTTCCATTATACTTGGATTCTTACTGACCGTCTGTTTGTGTGATGGCGTTTAACAATAAGAATGATGATAGAGCGGGACAGACTAATGAGGATTTTAAGGACATCCCTGGGAAGACAGATACGGAGTTGAACACCCACTCTGAGTCGGGCGTTACACTGATGACAGCGCCAGCGACCAACCCGCCCCCCGGCCAGAAGGTTCTCTCGGTCCCTCCCTCTTTTGCCCCATTTGATGGTACCAAAGATTTTGGATGCTGGCTCCGACGCCTTCGGTACTATATAATAATAATTTGTAATAATAATTTGTATATTTAAGGCCCAAGGGGCCCCGTCGTTACAAACTT